ACAATTTACAAGCATAGATAAAATAAATAGTATTCAGGTACAGAAATGTAATAATTAAGTGTAAAATAACACTGCATTGTGTTCACTGTATGAATTAAGTTTAGATTAATCTTTGTTATAGCTGTTTTGTTGTTTGATTAACATTAGTGACATATTCAGCAGCACGTATTTATAGGCTGCTGTCCCTTTAAATCCGACTGCACGGATCCAGTATAATGATACACATCCGATTTCTTGCTCAGCTGTTTACATTCATTTAAAACATAACTTACTGGGTTTATGAGAATGATCGTTGAGACGGGTACTATTGACATAATTCTGTGTGTACGTGTCTGTTCAAACATAAGGAGGAGGAGATGCGAAAGACTGGCCATCTGAAACGCGTCTCTCTGTGTGTGTGTGAGCGCTTTGCACGTGTGCGGCAGAACGGAAGACACGCTGTGTGAGATGCGGCTTGTGCGCGCGCTTCAGGTGTGAGTCTGTCAGACAGCAAGACCAGATGGCAAAGAGTTGTTTTCTTCAACTTATTGCACTTAAGTCTTTTTAACGTCAAGCAATTCTCTGCTATATGCGTCGAACAAAACTTTGACCTTTTGCAACGTTTTGATTTAAGTAGCCTATTATTAAAATGATTCAGATATCGCACGCCCTTGCTATATGCATATCGCGATATTTACATTTGCGATATTTTCGATATATCGTGCAGCCCTATTTCACACACACTGACAATTAAATCCAACAATGTGTTATTAATGATAAGTAGTAGGAGTGTTCCGATTGATCGGCTACCGATCACTTCGGCCGATAATCGCTTTGATATGATTGATCGGCGGTCTCTGAAAAGTCCGATCTCAAAAAAAACGATCGAGCTGATGATGCTGCCGTGAGAAGGTTTGACACGACATGCAGCGTCACCGTCTCAGTCTGGCGGGGGTGAAATCATTATAATGCTGAAGGTGAGGTACTCACCTTCATATTTCTTAATTAACTTCTAAAGTAATTTGAAAACCTTGTGTGAGACGTAATTTCACAAACAGCGTGAGTGAATCCGCGTGTGCGCTCTCTCTCAAAATACGCAAATGTCTTCAAATCACCACATTGCGTCTGTCTATAAGCAAGCTGCACAGTTGACACAGGAATTGTCACTTGCACAATCGAGGCAGTGTCACATCGTCACTAAAATTTATAAATTGCATTACATTTTAATTATTGCCAGTGTTTAACCATTCAACGCTCGTGCGTCTCTTTCCTGGAGACAGTGCGCTCATGCACACTCGCAGCGCACACACATAACGCCAGGTTCACATTACTCCGTTTGCAGTGCGAATGTGGTGTATATTTTTTCCGCGCTCAGGTTAACAGATTAATAAAGCGTGTGCACTGCACACCGTTGCGGTCTGGCAGTGCGTTCCAGTAGCGGTGTGTCTGCAGCAGTGCAGAGATGGTCTATTGCTGTGCTGCAAGCGCTGAATTAAAGTAACAGTGCATTGTTTGCAGTAAATATGAACATGGATTGACACGAAAATGTAATTACACCATAAATGCATATTATTAAAGTCTACTGTGTTTCACAGTCAACACATATAGCTTTTTGGCTAGGTTTAAAGGGAAAGAGCATGTTTAGATAAACAAGGCAATAATAGATGGCACTCATGGAGGTAGGAAAACAAAGTTCTTTATGAACCGCAGGATTGCTTGTAATAAAGATTTCAATGCAAAAGCAAAGGCAGTAGAGCTGACTGTTTCTGTCAGTGGTAAGTTGTGAGTAGCCTACATAAAAAAGGTGGAAGACATGGAAATAGTTTGTCATTTTTTACCCTATTGTTTGTTATATTTATTTGCTCAAAGTCTTGAGCAATGTGTAAATCCGGCCCTGTTAGATGGCAATCGGAAGTTATTACAAACACTCGATGGTGGTTTAAAGTGAGTTTTGAGTAAAAGCGAAATATAAATCTTATTTATTTTCTTATGTAGCATGATGCTACAGTTTGCATGAATGGTCACATAACACGCACTTTCGGTCGTGTATCGTTAGTATGAACGGACATCTGCATATGATGGGAACTCCACGCAGCTCCCGCGCTACTCTATACTGGTGGTATTACAGTACCACGAGAGCTAAAGAGAGCAGACTGCTCCGTGCGCTTTTGAATCGCTCTCGCGGATGATCAATCTGCGCCGCACCTCTAGTCGAACACACCGGCAAGTGCTGCAGGCTTATTTGCTCACTGACGCTGATGAGATTAACCCCTTAGGTATCGAAATTTGGTACCGAACGACAATATGTTTTTCGATACTCGATGGTATCGAACTCGATACCCAGCCCTAGTGATAATGTAAGAAAAGTAGTTTAAATGTTTTGCCACATGCTTGAGCAACTTAATATATAAATCTAGAAGTAAATGCAAAAGTAAAAAGCATTATATAATGTGTTGCTTATATTTATTGTATTTAAACATGTCTGTGAAAGATTGTATTACTGTACTGTGAAAAAAGAATTGCAAAGCTGAAATTTTTTTTTCAGTGACAGTGTTTGGATTTGAAATCAAAATAATGGATAAATGTTGTGTTTGTGGTAAACAGCCATGAATCAGGAGCAGACTCCTGTGTGAAAGCTGCTTGCCCTCTCACAAGAGTCACCTAAGAGTGGAATTCCCCTCATTTTCAAAAATGAAATTCAGGCTCTGAATAAATGTCTAAAAATCCTGATTGGAGTATTACTATAAATAATTATAAATGATCAAAAGAAGGCTTTAAAAAGAACGGTATCAGTGATCGGTATCGGCAGATACTGCTTTCTGTGATCTGCCTCAAAAATCCTGATCGGAACACCCCTAATAAGTAGATTTTACCTATAATCAAATGACAAATGTACCAGTGGAAGATTATAACTAACATTATGGATCATCATAGGACTGATTACGCCTCTGGTTAAAGCGGCTAAAGAATCAGTTTACTTAACCTCATTTGATCACAAGCAGATCTCACCTGTCCTCTTTGTTGATCTGATCTCCAAAGCCTACAGTGTTGACCACATTAAGCTTGAGGCGAACGTTGCTCTCCTGCAGCTCATAAGTGTTGGACTTGAGCTGCACTCCAGGCTGATTGTGCTGTGTAGGTTCACCCTCAAATTTGGTGTTGAACAGGGTGTCCATGAGGGTGGACTTTCCCAAACCAGTCTCCCCTGTAAGAAACACCGCAATAAGCTACTAGGCTCTTCATTTAAGATATTCAAAATATCACTATGTACAAACAATTCTCTATTTTTTTCTATAATTGTGTCTAGGATATTTTAAATAATTAAATAAAGTTTGCTAAATTATAGCTGTATTCAGCATATCAAACAGGAATAAGAGAATGAATTATTAACATCAAAATTACACAAAATCAGCTTTAATACATAAGTGCACTATTTGCACTGATGCATACACTTCAGATTTTAACCCACATAATTGGTGTGTAAAAGTCTAAAAGCCATGCAGCAATCCTGGTTCAGTCTGCCTAAAGGTCCTATTCTTGCTTTCCTGACAACCACAAACGCAGTAGAAATGGACATCATGCAACACCACCAGAATGTTAATTATATGGATGGCTCACATTTGCCATTTCTTCATAAACTCAGCCTGCAGATCCCATTCCCACGGGCCCCTCACTACAGGCATGAGCAAAAAGCCTCATCTGACACCTATAAATAAAGCAGCGATTTTAAACCCAGATCAAATGCTGATGAGCATTGACTATCAAAAAGCATCACAAATTCTTGAGACTGAATTAAAGGCAATGCAGGCATCACACACACTGAGCATCACATAACTCAATCAAAGCTGATGGTTATATGAATCACAAGCATTTTCTCTCTTCTCCAGATAATCACAACGTGATATTTACAGCATGCCAAAGCACTCAGCATTCACTAAACCTGGAGCATTGAAGCTGAACCTAAACAATCAGGAATGAAGAGAGGAGAAAGAGGCCTGCTTGACAATAGTCCCTTGCCATTTGCCAAATTCCCTTTACACTAGTTTCTAGAGAGTTCTGTCATTACCTCCTTAGAGCTTTAGCAGAAATGGGATAAAAGCCCTGGCAGATGCCCTGAACTTTAGGGGACCCTAACAAAGAATCTGAAACAATGTCTTCATATAAATAATTCACAAAGGCAAAGTGAATACAAAAAGCATAAAGAGGTCATAGTATCATAGGCACAAGATTTAGCTAGAATTTTACTTGGGTTATTGACATATGGCTTCTCAGTGAGGGAACAGCATAATTTGCCTAGTTCACAGTTTGCTATAAACATTTCCTCAGACCATACTGTTCATTTTACAAACAAATTTCAATATTATTATTAAATACTGACCAAAGGCTGCATCACACTTTTGTTTTTGTAAGAAAGGATGATCAATAAATAAATTTAATTAAGAAAATATTTTTTTTCTCTAGCAGTCCACTTCAAACATAATTTTACATCTGTAACTTTATATCTACTATAAATGTAAATTCACTAATAAACAACCATGCAGTAAGTTGAACTTTAAATTAATTTTACATGGTTTTCTAAACATGCCGCTCTCTTGTGCCAGACGCGAGTGATAGATGTCCTCTAGAAAATGTGATAAATATATGTGTTCTGTGTGAACGGCTTGGTTTCAGTTTTGACGTAAACAACATCTCCACACTGATGCTCTCGTTTGCCGCAATATATGAATGAACAACGTAGAAGCGCCGCATCTAGTGTGTTCAACTGGATAGGCTAACAAAAGCATTAAAATGCAATGACACTTACATCGTCGTCGCATTTCGTGCACCACTGATAGGCTGCCTGACGGCTGACGCAGACCTAAAAATCTGTGGATTTTTTATTTGACGAATATTCAAAATTAGATTTTTTTTTTGACAGCCCTAACTCACACACAGGTTTAGGCTAGATGACGTCACTCACTCGTTACTAAAAACAAAGGTGAACCTGCACAGACCTTCAGTCTCTGCCTTGTGGTGGTTAAGCACACGTCTGACCTCCTCTACCCACTTTCGATTACTCAAAATGCATTGTTGCTCTTTGTCACAGATTTCAGAAAAACTAGAACTTTACAACTCAACGATAAACAACACTGAACTGAAATACACACACCAGCACTAGCCAAAACTAAACAACAGTAAACACCACCTGGATTCAAGAGGCGTAATCAGCTGCCCACAGTCTCTTTGCCAAACCACCACACATGCACACACCTTGTTAAGACTGACTCCCATAACATTTTCATCATCACAATACAGGGACCGATTTAATGATACAGGCTAGTCTATTTCTCCTTGAAGGTATGTTTGTACTATTTTTTTACTGACCATGTTAAATAACATGAAAAATAGCATGGTTTGAGAGATTATTTCCCCTATTTTTTAACTGTTCTTTGAGAGTAAGAACAGAAAATGTCTAACCTTCAGTTAGCAAGCCACACATGAAATCAGGGTATGAATTAGGGCTGCAACTAACGATTATTTTGATAATCGATTAGTTGGTCGATTCTTTTTTCGACAAAAAAACACACTATTCCACATTCTGCCCAATGTCCTTCAAACAAACGTGCCAACTGAATGCTATGAAAACATACAGTGCTTAACAATTTATTAGACCACCTGCCGTAATAAAAAGAAAACACATTTTAGGAATTTTAGGAATCTGTCAAAAAATTGTTTAAATCAAAAAAATATATTTTAATTTATTGGGCAAATAAACTTAAACAACTAAATAGTATTTATTCACATAACAAAAAAATGGCCTCCTATGCCCTTCATAACAGCTTGCATTCTTGCTGGCATTGTTTATGTACTTTTGAACTGTAATTGGGTATCTGGAAAAAAAAACACTATAAAGCTCTTTGCCTTTCTTTCATAGATAACAGCAATAATTATATTATAGCATTAGAAATAGCCTACTACTGTTACTAAAGAGCTTACGCATATTGGAGGACTAACCAATACAGAAAGCTAAAAAATTATTTTGGTAATCACCAGTACTGTTAGTTTAGACCAGCAGTGGCACAAACCATAATTTGTTAAAAACCTTACATAAATTTGTTTTAATAAATTTGTTAACTTAAGCATTGTATATAGTGAATATAGTTTAAATCTCTGCATTAAAAATTTAAATAATAATAAAGATGATAAAGACGAATAAAATCACAAACTCAGTTGTAACCAATAGCTAAGAGTAATGTTCTGCAGTAACACACGTTCACTTTGACCACAGTCATGTCTTACTGTCATTTCTTTATCCTGTAAAAGGCTGTTGAAGCGTCTGATATTTATATTCAGACAATTACACGCTGTTATCCCTTTACAGTTCCTACTCTCATAAAATACTCGCAATGCATGTTGACCTTTAAACCTTCATTTAACTTTCAAAAACAGATATTTCAGCACAATAAATGTTTTTGCACTGATTATTAATTGTCTCTGTTTCCGTCTGTGCGTGTGCACGCGGCCGCCGCTCTTTCAGTAAAGATTTCAACTTAACGCAGACTGTCAGCATGGACCTTTATGCAAAAATGGAAATGCTCATGTGAATTTGTGACATTTATACATAAGGATATGTATAATATAAACAAAGTTTTTTGCGCTGAGGACGCACATGCACCATCTGTCAAAGCGCCTGACACTAATGCATTAGCTTAAAGCCTAAAATAAAGAATTCTCATGTTTTGGGCAGCTTGGATCATGTAACTCTCCCGCAGCATCTCATTCCGTTTCCTCCACTATTTTTAGATGCATTTTGTCCATAGAAATGTGTAATTCAGTGCTGTAATTTGACGCAACCACTGAAGTTGGACATCCACTGAGGGCAGACCCGACTGATCGATAATGAGAATCGTTGTCAATAAATTTTCATAATCGATTTTATCGATTAGTTGTTGCAGCCCTAGTATGAATGAAACCAAATTGTGATTTCCTGCAACTGCTCTCCATCAGTGCATCAGTATTTAGTAAGTGGGTCACAGGACAGAATCAGTATGCATTCACAGTGAAGGGGTGTGACATACACTGAAGCAAATGGTTAGTTTCGCCCCTGCTCCTGCATGACACACTAACCTAGGGTTGTGCCGATAGACGATAGCATCGTGTATCAACGACAGACAGATATCGCCTGTGGCTGATGCCTTTGACAATAGCAAGACGATTATTATTATTATTATTATTATCAGGCTAGTAATACTA